TGTGGAGAAGTTTTCGCTATAGGGCACGTGCGCTCGCCAGACAGAGAGAGACATAGAGACAGAAAGCAAGAAATCACCCCCCAGGGGGGATGGTCACGCCGCAATCCCTTCTCCTCCATTCTCCTCTCGGGATATTAGGCACGCACGCACACACACCCGGTGTGAGTTTAAGCCACTGGGTCCGGGACTCGAACTGCAGTCCACTACATGGGAGTCCAATGACATAGCCAATTACGCTAACTGCTGGTCCCGAGCCGGTCTCTTCTTGGAGTGCACTGCAGTCAGTAGAGCAGTCTAAGAGAACCTTCCTTCCCAGTGCATTCCCACCTGGGGTTCAAGATTCCAGGGAGTGAAGTTTACAGGCTGCCGACGCCCCAGGCCGCACCATTCAGGGTGCTCTTAGCGAGTTCCACCAAGGTGTCTAGGAATCGGCCCCGTGTGCCGAACCTCAGTCAGGTAGACAGGGGACAGTGGCCCACACTTCCAGACTTAAGTGACAACTCTTTACCAATCTTTTATGTTCTTGCCGACAAAGCGATAGTTCTGAAGGTCAAAGTTTTTCTAGTAGCGCCTTCCAATGGGAGGAGGTGGGAGATATCCAGAGACAAGAACTTACATGAGGTAGTTGAATAAAAAAAAAAACAAAAAACAAAAAACAAAGTCTCTTGGCTCATGACCAGGACTCAGGAGCCCCAGAGCTGGTCCGGGAGCCTGGGTCATCGCCTGAGGCCCAGAGTCTCTGGACTTACCTCGTCACAGTTCCGGGCGTGGTCCTGCAGGGACATTAAAGCCCAAGCCCTTGTGCTTTGGAAAGGGAACCAGATGTCCAGAGAGCTCCAGGAGCGGTCCCCCCAGGAGGCAGCGTGTAAGCCAGAGGAAACACTGGCCCAGGGAGAAGGGACCCAGCCAGGGAGGCTCTGTCACAAGCGTTTTCCAGAGTCGGTTCATGGTCATGGTACTTAGAGACGCTCGTGGTAAAAGCCCTTACAGATTCAGAGAAGGTGAGACTCTTGATCCCAAACAGCAGTGTCCAGGGCCTCTGCCCTTGGTGGGGCCCAGTGCATAATGGGAAATCCCAGGGCAGTCAGGATTCTCTGAGAGCCAGGGAGGATCTAGATGCTGCTCAAAATTCTGTTTGAAGACGACAAACCCAAAGGGATGCGCGAATTACCAGGACTGCCTGTGGCTCCTCTCCTGGCCTCAGCCCGGCGTCTGGTTCTGAGCAGCCCTCCCGTAGCACCCCGGCTGCTCACAGGCCTCACTGCCCACCCCACTGTGTGCTGGCTGCCATCCCAGGGCCCACCGCCAGGGCCAGTGAGCCGCAAAGAAGCCCCAGCCCATCCTGTGCCACCTTACAGCCGAGGGCGGGGCGGGCAGGCGGCACACGCCAGGCTGCCAAGTCCCTGTGTCCTGTCGTGTGCTCTGAAAAGGCGAGGAGTCCAGTGGGAGCAGAAACGAGGGGACGCTGGCCCGGGGGAGGCTGCCCGGGTGTGGAGCGTGTCAAGCCCTCCCAGGAGGAGGCGGTTGCTCGGTGGTCACCCGAGCACAGAGCAGGCCAGCGCGTCCAGAACCCCAGACGTGCTAGGCCCCGAGGGGACTTGAGCTGGTCACCGGGGACCCTGAGCGATGCTGGGCTTCTGAAGTTTCTGCTGTCATTTTCATCGTCCACAGCCACTTTCTCCGAGGGGCTGGAGGCAGATGATGGTAGGCAGGTGGGCTGGTGTGGAAGCGGCTGAGGTGAAGTGAGTAAAGAAGTCGCTCCCGGAGCCCACGTCCGAGTTGTCCTGAGCCGTGTGTGTCCAGACCTTGCAGACCGCAGAGGACTGTGAGGGGAGATGTCAGTGGGGAGGGAGCTCCATGAGGGTCACGCAGGCCCAGCAGTGATGAGGCTCCGCCCCACAGTAAGGGGAGCAGGGCGGCCGCCCTTTCTGGGGTCTGCGCGGGTTAGCCTTGGGAAGTGGGCTGCAGGGAGAAGCAGGTGGGCGCCCAGGCAGTGGAGCAGCTGCTCGTCTTTAGTGCAGGACAGACTTGGGAGTGACAGGAGTTGGTGACAGACGGCCCGTGTGTGTGACATCCTCTTCTTCCTTCCTGAGGCAGGAGCTGAGTACGACACCTCGGGGAGGGCCTGGGGAGGAGGGAGGGCAGCTGCCCTCGTGGCATTTCCAGTCTGCAGGCTGAGCGTCAACACCAGAGCGAAGCCCTTCGTGTTCAGGGAGAGCAGGGACACGGGTGACCGCGAGCGGCTGGTGCACACTGCAGGGTCGTCCCCTTCAGCGAGCCGAGGCCAGGCTCCTAAGCTGCCTCCTGGCCCTACTTGGGATGAGTGGGTTCTTTTAACTTTCTAAAAGTTTGCATGAGGCGGGGGCAGAGCAGAAGCCGCCGTCTAGGTCGGGCAGCGGACATGGAGGAGTACGGGTAGGAAGCCGTGCACCCAGTGCTGCCGAAGCCCGCCTGTGCTGTCTAAAAAAAAATGTGCTGTCTTCCCGGAGGCGGCCTCTCCCGCCAGTGAGAAGGGCTTTCCTGGGAAACCTCACCAAGAGCCTGTTCTGGCTTTCCCACACGCCTTCATTGGCTGCTGGCTGCTGGGTGTGCTCCCGGCTCCCTTCAGGCCCTCGTGGGAGCAGAGCGCCATGTTTGCTAAGAGGATGAGGTGTTTCAGGAACAGGGTGGAGGCTGTCCCTTGGGGAGGACCCAGGTTTTTCTGTGTGTCCTGCATTCCTCTCTTGGCCACCCTGTCCCCTCCAACACACAGCATGGTAGGCAGAGACGTGCCCCGTAGCAAGCCCCCGGGAGGCCTGTGTCCCCAGGTTGGACCATGGCTGGCCGGCTGTGCTGGTTCTGTTACGGTTTTGCTCACCGCTGAGAGCTGTAGGTGAAACTGCGTTTTGACATTTGCCGAACGCACTTCAGTTCTGTAAAAACCTCTGTTCATGTAATGTGAGTGGCTCTTGGTCCTCGTGCTGGCCTGCGACCGCTCCCGTACGAGCTGACACCATGCGAACTGGCCGTCGGAGGTCCAGGTGGCTGAAGGTGGAGTTCCCTGCAGTTCAGTCTCAAGTTCTAGGTCACATATTCGGCGACTTTACCCACTTGCAATTTAGCTAAAACGTTTGCAGAGAAAAATCACTTCTAAGTGGGGACAGGTTCTTGAGTGTTTAAGGAATTCTTGCTTCCAGCTGGTCCTTTCTGAGGACCCACGTTAGAGAAAGCAGACGCCGGTCAGTGTTTGCTCAGAAACCACAGGTGGTTAAACCGTAGTTCACCTACTTCAGCCCTTCACTCAGCGACAGGACGGATGTTGAGACGGGCCCAGCCACCGGGGCGCAGAGCCGCCGCACAGTGCTGGAAGCCAGGTGGAGGGTGGGGTTCGGATTCCGGGTTGGCCTGAGCACACGCCCCCAGGATCCTAGCTGGCTGGAGGCTAGGGCAGGGGTAGGGGGAAATAACAGCTTAAGACCCTGTCAAGAGTGAATGTCTGTCTGTCTCTCTCATGAAAGAAAGAAACTTTGAAAAAAGAAAAGAAGACCTATGGTAAACAGGGCCTGGGGCTGTGCTGCTGCCATGAGAGATTTTGAATTTAAATATGAGGCTGGATCTTCAAAAAGTTCATGGAAAATGCATAGGCTGAAAAAACTATCTGGTCTTAAAAATGGTTTTGCACCAAAATAAAGTTGTGCTTTCTATTTTCCATGAATGTTTTACAGTACCCTTCTGAGAACCCATAGCAACGGCCCAGAACAGAACCAGAGCCGTTGACTGGGGCTTGGGGAGGAAGAGTTACGGTTTTGGCCTTATCTTTTCTCTTAACCAGATTATGAGTCAGACGGAATGGGCCTGCAGAGCATGGCTCGACTAAGTACGTTCAAACACGTGCGCTTCGTTATAGTCGCCAGGAGACAGCCCCTGAGTCAGGGTTGAAATATTCTGAGTTCTAGTGCAAAATTTTCCCACCTGGGAGGCAGACGCGAGTCCCTGGGGGAGCTTTACTTCTGCAGGTTTGGGGTGGGCAGGCGGTTTAGTCACCCCGGTGTTAGGGCACAGGGACCACACGGGGAGCCCAGGTCTGGGACAGCCACAGGGGCGCAGCCATCGGTACCCTGCCTGCTGCTCTCTCCCGCGGTAACGAGCCCTCTTCCCTCCTCAGGGTGGAGAACCGGCCTGGGTTTGTGGCGGTGGAGCTGCGGCTGCGTAATTATTACTACGACGTGGTTAACTGACAGCTCCCGAGCCTGTGTGTGCCCTCCATCTGACGGCAGCCAGCAGATACTGAGATGAAGTGATCGTTGTCCCCTCCCCTCTGCCAGCTGGGAACGTCCCGGACTGCTCCTCGCCGCCTGACTGGACACGCCTTCACCGCACAACGTCCCAGGAGCGGGATCGAAAGGGCCCTGGGAAGCCTTTGTTTTTCTTGTCTATGTAGCTTTCGTGACTGGTCATTTATAGGACCTGCTTCTAAATTCCTTTGGATTCTTTCCAGTTGTTCGGGTCCGATCCAGGCGGTATGGAGCACACTCACCCGACACAGCCTCTTCCCAGGGTCCGAGGGTGCAGTGAGACCTGAGCGACTCCGGAAATGGTGCGCAGAGAGAGAACGGTCTGTCTGCCTCCAGGACATGGCTCCGGCAGCCTGCAAGACCGATCCTTGCCACTAAAAAGTGCTTTGAGGCTCAAAAATAAATCAAGTCTGATCAGTGCCATTTTTGGAGCATGTAGCCAGTTAATAAAGGGGGAGGGGGACCCGGACACTGCTTTTGCTGTCTGTGTTATGAGACAGGAGACATGTCTACATGAAAAACGAGGAGTTCGGTTTTCCCCCTGAAAGCCTCTCCTGCAGACTGCCTTGAAGACTGTACTTGTGTGGGGACTCGTCGCTGAATTCTGCACTAGGAACACGGATGCCCCACGCCTGACATGACAGCGTGCGTTGTCATTGGCTCCATCATTGTCCTGGATGGAGAGAGTAGAGGCAGCACTCCTCCCCTCTCCTGTGTCTGCAGTGAAGGACAATGTGGTGACCAAAGCCAGCCAAAGGAGAATGTCTAAAGAAGTATTCATGTGGGCCAGCTGGTGGCATAGTTGGTACGGCAGCCGGAGTTCTGGACCCACTGGACTCAGGCGTGTGTGCCTCTGTGCCCAAAAGGGAAGATGGAGGAGAAGGGATTTCAGTGTGCCCCCCCCCATGAGGAGTGCTTTCTCACTTTCCTATCTCTCTCTGTCTCTGTGTCTCTCTAGCCAGTGCATATGCCCCTTGGCAAAATTAAAAGGAAAAGAAGGGACCAGCAGATGGTGTAATGGTTACATCACCAAACTCCCACATAGTCGACCACCGTTTGAGTCCCAGACCTGACAGCTTAAAGCTCATGCCAGGTGCATGTACGTGCATGCCCAAAATCCCAAGGGGAGACTGGAGGGGAGGGGATTGTGGCATGGTCAACTCCCCAGGGGGTGATTTTTTGCTTTCTGTCTCTCTGGCAAGCACATGTGCCCTATAGCAAAAATCTCTCTTAAAAAAGGAAAAAGACATATTAATTCATAGTAAAGCCAAGAACCCCAACCTCCATCACCATTAGGCCTTGTTCAGTGTGACTTTGGGTTGAAGATGCAAACCTGAGAGTTACTCTTAGTCCCCAAGTCTTAGCTAATCCTTGACCTGATGTCCGATGGCATGCAAGTCTCACCAGCTGTGCCGCTTTAGCTGGTGCTTTTGTTAGGCTGAGGCTTCTGGAAGCTGAGACATTCAGCCAAAGTTCCTACATCAGTAGGTCCGTGTGAACTCAGACTCCCCTCTTCAGCTACACCTGTGTGTGTTCAAGTGCACATACGGCCATGGACAGTCGAAGATGTGGAGGAAGACAGCCATTGGTGCCTTCGTTTTGCCAAAAGCCCTGAGCTCTTTGTAGGACTCGAGACACTTGCAGACTCGGCCATGCATTTCCAAACGTGCTGCCCGGTGGCTTCGTCATCTCGTGAAGGAGAAGACGTCTGTGCTTAACGTGCTGAGCAGATTCTCTGGGTACATCCAGGGTCCTGAAATGAGAGGCCAGCGACCAGATCCCTGCTATCCCTGTGAGAAGGGGGGTGCCGGATTCGGCAGAGTGGTGACGCCAGCCGGGAAGGGCTGCAATGCGGAGCTCTCCGTGTCTGTCTATTGTGTCTTTAGTAAAGGCCTCGTGTTCTTAGGACTAAGGGGACACAGGTGCGTGAGTCTCTCTCCCTTATTTCTGGAGTGATTTTCCAGCCTCTGTAGTAGCACCCTGTCCCCACACAGCAGCCTGGGAGTGACAGACATTTGGAATGCAATGGAGCAAGAGGAGGCAGGGCCTCGGCTCCCCCCAGAAGGCCCTTGGTAGTGCAGGCCCTGGGTGCAGAATCCCCACTCTGGCCACAAGAAGCCCATGAAAATTGTGTCCACGGTCAGGACCTATTCTCGTTCGCCTGTGTCATAAGGCAAGGCAAATACAGAAAGGCGTCCTGCCTGAGGAAGTGGCTATAATGTTGGAAGGGGCTGCCTTCGCAAGGCGAGGGCAAGGTCTGCAGGCTTCTCGCTGAGCCTCTCGCTCGGCCCAGCTCCACGCACACTGCCGTTGGTGGCTCCGACCGTGTCTTTCCCTGGGATCTGGGGTTGCTCCATGTGCCTGCCCTGCTTAGCAGGAAACACAGACAGACAGACAGACAGACCGAGGCCTCCGAGGCCTGGCCAGCAGCCTGTAGGCTGCGATGTTTCAAATGCCCTGTGCCCAGCAGGACCGAGTACTTCGTAACAGGAAGCAGTCTGCCCAGTGTTCGGAGTCGCTGCAGGGTGCTGTCACCTGAGGCTGTGCTCCCCGCCACCGCTCCCGGCCTTGCTCATTGTGGGTGTGACTTCACATTGACGTTGGCCCTGGATTTCAGTCCCCAGACCGCACCTGGATTCCAGTCCTCCGGGCCTCCCGAAGAGCCTGCTCATAGCACGTTCTCCGTGCGTTTCAGAGAGCCACGTTTCGTCCCTGGACTTTTTAGAACTGATGTGTAATGGGAATGGAAATGAGTGTGCGTGGGTTTCATGAACACTGTCCAGATCCGATAGGTGTGCCTGCCGATAAACAGTACTGAACAGCGCCGTGGTTTTCCAGCGTCGCGTCCCTGCCATGCCCTCGAAGGGCGGACGGAAGCAGGGTGCTCGGAGCCCTCCGCGAGCTCCCCCACCCAGAGGAGGCCTGCTGTGGGGCAGCGGCTGGGCCTGCCAGGGGAGAGGGCGGGCCCCCGTTCCTGGGCCGGGGTCTGCCCAGCGGGCTCTTGCCGGCCCCCGCTCGTTAGGTAGGCCAGGAGACCCGGAAATCCGCCTGCGGCCAGAGCAGGGTGGTGGGTTGCCCTTGTCTGTGATGGCAACTGGAAGGCCATTGGGACAGGGAAGGAAGGGCCATAGAGCCTGATCTCCTATTCTAAAGGAGGTTACATATACACGTACACATGTGTGCATGCACACGATACATATACACATGCATGCACGTGTGTTTGTGAACATGTGTATACATGTACCCACACCCTGTGTGTGTAAGTGCGCATGCATATATGTGCACAAATGCATGTACATGCATACACACCTATATGCACGCACACACAAGTACACAGCACATACATTCATATATACACCACACAGCACACTAACATGCACACACATACATATACAGAACACCATTATATGCTGTACACAAATGGGCAATCCATACCCATCATATGCACACCACACTGAACAGTACTCCCAACAACCACTTACAGAGTGGTGTGGGAAGGGGCCTGCAGATGGCATAATGGTTATGGTGGACTCCCACATGGCCAAACATGGTTCAAGTCCCTCACCCAGAGACTTGAAATGCCAGGCACATGTGCATGCATTCCCAAAATCCTGAGAGGAGAATGGAGGAGAAGGGATTGTGGCATGGCCAACCCCCAGGGGTGATTTCTTACTTTCTGTCTCTCTCTCTCTCTGTCTCTCTAGCAAGTGCATGCACCCTATAGCAAAAAAATCTCTCAGGAAAAAAAAAATGTTCAGTGTGGGAGCTGGAAGTTGGCCTGGCCCAGCCCGGCAGTAAACACAGCACTGTCACTCAGGCCACAGATGGACTGTCCTGACACCTTGAACACGCCAGCATGTGCCCGTGACCCAGTCCTCACTGAGAATGGGGGGACCCTGTTGGGTGCTCTCTCTCTATCTCTCTCTCCCCCTCTGCCTCTGACTCTCTTACTTATGGGAGAAATAAATAAGCTCAGCGTGGGGCAGTGGTCCTACCCACAAACACACTCCCTGTGTACGCCTCTCCTCTCCCCTCCCTGGGGGCTAAACTAGAGGCCCCTCCTGCTCGAGGGCCCCTGCTCCTGGGGGCTGAGGCAGAGGCTGAAGGAAAGGATGAGGAGGCGGCCGAAGGCTCCTGGGGAGCCCAGACATGGGGTGACCCACACTGCAACAGCCCCTCGGCCACGGGGGCGACACAAGGGAGACTGAAAATCTGACCCAGGCAGCCACGTGCGGGGCTCCAGGTCAGGCACCCGGACTCCTAACCTCCGCCCCAGTGGCGCCGAGGCTGACATGCACAAGTGCCAGGCTCAGTGGCCTTGCTCTCACGCTGCCACGGCGCTGCGGCCTGTGCCACGCGCACTGTGCCCCCATGAGAGGCCTCAGCGATGCCAGCCGGTGCTCTGTGATGGCTAAGGGGCCAGCCCCTGACGGGACCTTTGCGATGACGCGCTACTGCACAGACAGTGCGGCGTGGCCTTCCCTAGCGTGGGCTCGAGCAGAACGGGGTGTGGCCCTGCCTGTCTTCCCGAGAGGACAGGTGGCCTGAGAGCTGCTTGGTAAGCACGTTCTCGTTTCAGGGAGGACGCATTTTGGAAGAGCAGGAAGGAGACGGCGGGGTTTGGGATTGTCTCGGTTTGGGACACACACCACAGTGTTCGTGTCCTTCTCCTGGACACTGGCTGGGGGCCTCACGGTGGAAGTCAGCTCCTGCCACAGGGACAGCTAGTCTTACTGGGTCACCGCGGGTCTTGGCTGTCCCCTGCCCAGCAGAGGCCAGGAGCGTCAGCCTCCTTGCACATGGCTTCTCTGTTTCCTGAAGTCCCCTGTCCCAAAGCATCCCAAGAGAAACCTGAAAGGCTTTCGCAGTGTCTCCCAGGGCGTGGTTTGGGGCGGCAGAGGTGCACCGGGCAGCTCGTGGGCTCCCTCGTCAGGTAGCTTTGAGAACAGCCGGGAGCAGCCCGGCCTGGCGACCTCCACAGGGGCCTAGTGAGAGCACCAGGAGTATTCCAGTAGGTGTCTGCGTAGCTTTTTCCCTTGTTTTTGAGAGAGATTTTTTTGCTCTAAGGCCTGTGCTCTCCAGAGAGACAGAGAGAAATAATGTGAGAAATAACCCCCCGGGGGGATGGCCATGCCACAACCCCTTCTCCATCCTCCTCTTGGGGTTTCGGGCACACACGCATACGTGCCCGGCCTGAGTTCCAAGTCACTGGGTCTGAGGCTCAAACTCAGCCAGTCCTGGGGGACTCCAGCGGCTTAACCACCACCTGTCATCCCCACCCCCACCTTTTCATGACGCCTCCGACTATAGGACTGCTAGGCACCCGTGAGCATGGCAGAGCTGGGGACACTGCACCTCGGGACATTTGAGAGGGCCCGATGGTGCAATGCTAGGCATTCGTGGGAGGCCATTCGGTCCCCAAA